ATCATGAAATGTTAGCAAACTTTATAATTATTTCAAGTCAGAATTAGTTTATTTCTGAAAGATATAAGAAATAAGTTGCAACACTGTATATTTTCATATGTTAATTGGATATTTGAACATTAAGTTTACGCTATTGTGAGCACGAAAATTTTTAATGGAATCTTAAAATTTATGCTAATCGGTTTTTTGAAATATAAACATCCACGGAAAAAAACGGAGAGTCAGATCGGAGGTCAATGGGAAAGTTAACACTTAGTTGTCAAGACTGTACTGTCATCGTCAACAACAGACGATCAGGTGATAATTTCCCACAACGATTGTATAAACGCAAGAGCTGGAAGCTCCGGGTGATCGAAAGGAAGTTGTACTTGAAATAATGCACATGAAGTTTCCGAGTCCTTAATCCTGTCGAGAAGACAATGGACAAGGACAATGATTCTTCCTAAGGACCGTTCGTCGCATACAGTTCCTTCACACATAGAGGTATTTTCGATAGCAATCTGAGAACTTTTTCTCCACAGCTAAGAGGAATAGGCTTAGCTAAAAACTATCTTTTTTGTATAGACCTTCGTTAGTATTTAACCGCATTTAGCTTCCTATAACCTCCTGTAATTTAGATTTAGTTATATAATAAATTCTTGTTCTTGTCTGTTAAAAACTTGTCTCCTGTCACTCCGAATCACGGACACCTGCCGACTAGCTCAATCCACTCCTCATTCGTGTAAAGCCTCCAAAAGAGAAATTGGGTGAGTTTTACCAACTCGACGTGTAAGTGGCAATTAAAGTACAGACCCTGTGCCCTCGTATTCTCACACTATCATAGAGACTTCTCCTTCAGTATTGGAGCAACAGAAAAAAAAATACGAATATTAATGAATACGAATTATCTATTAATACAGCTGTATGCAATACGGAAAGTTGATCGGTCACACTTTTGTGATGAATGTTACAAGTTGTCTCTAATGTGTACGAAATACATAAAGTTTATTTTACAAACATTTAACAGATAATTAAGCTAATTTCAACTTTATTAATACACACTAAATGAACACATTCTAGTCATTTGGAAACGTAATTTTTTCACACTTCTTCTCATGCGTTGTTCTAACAACTATTTATTACGATTAGCACGTATAGCAATAACACTTCTTTATAATTTAAAAACTTTTAAAATTCGATTAATCGATCAAAAATAAGAATTTGGAATGTTACATATTTATTCTACTGAACTACACCCGAACATTTTAAAAATTTAATCAGATAAAAACTTACATCATATTATTTAATATAAATATTACATTTGTAAATATTAATTTAAACATGAATAAAATCTGCAACTAAATTTTCCATACCTGTGCATTGCGGAAACATATTCTTGATTGTCGTTAGTCTGAGAATGCAGAGAAACTCCTACTGCTATATCTACAGTGCACAGAAATAAATTAATATTTACATTTTTAAAATAAATAAATGCACGTCGTATGAAAATAATATTCAGTTTCGAGAAGGCACCGCAGAACAGAGTAATTTTACTAAAAAATACAGTACTGGACGAAATATTACCGTTTATTCTATCCTATAGTCAGCGATAGTTCTAACTGTTGTCACTAGACAGACCCAGTGATAATAAAAGTAGCACGTACACTAAAGGGAAAGTCGTGCTGTGTGTCAATCTTTTAAGCGACTAGCTCAAACAGTTTTTTTTAACACTTACACATCGCACGGCAATTAATACCGTGCGACGTAATAGTGTTAAAAAGCTGTTTGTGTTCGAGCCCCATTCAGTGTTGCTTTCGTTGAAGAAAGTTTCGTAACTTACTTTTTTTGCAGTAGCATTTGTATTTTCGACAAACACTATGAAATATTCTGTATACATTTATATATATATATTATATTTGACGTGAATAAGTGTTTAAATTTGCTTCCGCAGTAAGAAGCGATTCAAAAAACTGATTATAACAAAATCGAGGGTTAAAGTTTAACATTGCAGCTACATATCTGTCATCTACATCTAAAATTTTATTAAATCACTCGATAGTTAAATAGTTGAATACTTATGGTGAATATATACGGTTTTAAAGTTAAAAATTAAGAAAACTCAATACAATGTCGGCCTATATTCGTCGAAAATCCAAATCAAAATAAAATATAGAAATCGTGTACGTTTGAACAGGGCTTTTTGAGAGAAATCTAGTGATACCCATTAAAGCGGTGCCGGAAACGTAAAAAACAAAAATATCCGAAGGACTTCTTACTGTTAAGGAATGATTATTACATATAATACGCTCAAAGAAAATGTTACTCGTTAACGTACACGTATTCAAATAAAACACACGGCCGTGTTCCGAACACAGCCACACTCCAGAAATGTGTGGCTGTGTTAATTTAATGTATAAAATGAATTTTTATACATTAAAAATTCATTTTATACATTAAAAATTCATTTTATACATTTTTACGTTATAAGCAATAACAGGGCAAAATAAATACTCATTTAATGTTTACGTATAAACAAATAATTATTTATAATTTTTAAATAAATATTTTACATTAGAAGTACCTGCAATAATATCGAGAGTGCAATTTTTCATCCATTTCAGGACATCGAATATTTCATTTTCCTGCAATTGTTTGAGTTTTTCCACTAAGACGTTTGAGTGCTCCATAAATACATTTTGATCATCTTTCACATTTCGAAGATGAAAATGTGGAGCTAAATATTTTCTTCTTCTTCTCCAATTATCGTCAGGACTTTATTTAATTAAATTCAAAAAACTGTAAACAACGATATTTATACTAAATATCAAATAATGCATTACCTGTATAGAATACTATTTAGTCCGAGAGTTGGCTTGAAGAAATCATACGTAGAATCCTTGTTGATTAAACTGTTGCTTCTTAACACTTCCTACAAAACATAATGCTGTATATTTCCATTTATAATGAATATATTACATAACTAGGCATGTTATATTGCAATTGTTTGAGTTTTTCCACTAAGACATTTGAATGCTCCATAAATACATTTTGATCCTCTTTCACATTCCAGAGATGAAAATGTGGAGCTAAATATTTTCTTCTTCTTCTCCAATTGTCGTCAGGACTTTATTTAATTAAATTCAGAAAACTGTAAACAACGATATTTATACTAAATATCAAATAATGCATTACCTGTATAGAATACTATTTAGTCCGAGAGTTGGCTTAAAGAAATAATAAAAAGAATCCTTGTTGATTAAACCGTTGCTTCTTAACACTTCCTACAAAACATAATGCTGTATATTTCCATTTGTAATGAATATATTACATAACTAGGCATGTTATATTACCTTTGAAGATTCTGGATGTAAGAAATGAATTAATTTATATTCAAATATGTTCATACAGACTACTTTATCGTTTGGAAATACCAGAGAGAGTCCACTAAGTGTATTTGAAACTACTGGAAAGATACGAAAAATATTTATGCATTTATAATCAGTCAAATTACCCAACAAAGTATTAATGACATACATATGTTAATGTGTAAATTGTGGTATTGCTTGTTACGTTGACAAAATACAATGTTCCAGATGAATGGTAAAAAGGACATAGACGAAAGATTCATTTTCGGCTCCTGACCATTGTCTTTATTTTCAGAAAGATTCATATCTATTATAAAAATAACAGAAGAAATTATAACAAGCAGAAACTGTACATCGATGGGTAAAAAAGAGCAGCTTCCCCCTCTAAAAATAAAATTAAAGTATAGTAATTGACACACAGCGCAAACATACCAATTTAGTATCAGTTTGAATAGCGAATATGCGACTAAACTAGAGCTTAGAACCATCTTTCGAGATTAATTTAAAACTATTTCGCTGTTCGTTGCTATTGTTACACTCAAAAGAACGATGAATTGCCCTTCTCTACTTCAGATACTGAGTACTCCGCTATGTCAAGCATTGTAATTTGACTCCTTATAGTACTCAAAATTTATAAAATCTTTAAAGTTTGGATTTGATTAGTAATGGATAACATTCTAAACTGCTCTTTGCATTGTTGAAAAGCTGCAAATATTGTCGTCGCCAAATCTTTCACGTTGCATAAATGTTAAATTTTATTTCTAACACATTTTCGGACAAGAAAATGTGTTAGAAATATATTAATATATTAATATATAT